GGGTTCTTCAGGTATGTAAACAACAAGCAGAAACAGAAGGGAAATATTGGCGAGAGGTGAATTAGACACCAACAACCCTGAAAAGGCAGAGGTTCTCAATGCTCTCAATGCTCTCAGTGCTCCATCTTTACCAGCACTGTTGGGCCTCAGGCCTTGGGAACAAAAATCCAGGTTGATGAGAACACAGACCCACCACCAGTGAATGAAGAGCTGGTGTGTGAACTATTACCTTGACCCGTCCAAATCAGTGGGCCCTGCCAATATCCACCCAAGGGTGTTAAGAGCTGACTGATGTCATTGTGAGGCCACTCTCCACAAGCTTTGAGAAGTTGTGGAGACTGGGGGCAACCCAGAAGGCTGAAAGAAGGCTAGTGTCACCTGCATCTACAAGAAGGGCTTAAAGGAGGCTCCAGGAAATCATAGGCCCATCAGTCTTACTTCAGTCCCTGGGAAAGTTATGGAACAAATGCTATCAGATGAAGCACATCATTGGGAAAAGCCAGCACGGGTTCACCAAGGGCAAATTGTGCTTGACAAACCTGATGACCTACAACAAAGTAACCTGTTCAGTTGATGTGAGAAAAGTGGTAGACATTGTCTACCTGGATTTCTCCAAGACTTTCAATACAGTTTCCTACAACTTCCTTGTAGAGAGACTGATGCCTAGAGGAGGAGTCCATGTTGTGGATGGGAACTGACTGACAGGCTACACCCAGAGGTGGGTGGCAAATAGCTCCTTTTCAAACTGGGAACCTGTCACGGTGGAGTCTCCCAGGGATCAATATTTGGCCCAACACTGTTTGATATCTTCATAAGTGATCTGGATGATGGGATCAAGTGTACCCTGATGAAGATTGCTTCCCCCAAACTGAGTGGAGAAGTGGACACTTTGGAATGGAGAGCCACCCTGCAGGAAGACCTGGACAGGCTGGAACAGTGAGCTACTGAGAACCTTATGAAGTTAACGAAGACAAGTGTAACGTCTTGCACCTGGGAAAGCATAATCCAGAAGTGCAACACACATTGGGATTTACCCAGCTGTTGAGGAGAAACTATGGGGGAAGGCACCTGGGGGTCCAGGTGGACAAGTGGTTCAATGTTATGCACAGTCTGCTGCAGCAAAGAAAACCAACAGGATCCTGGGCTGCATCAACAAGGGCATCAGCAGCCGTGATAAAGATGTCATTGATGTGATTATTCCACTCTACTCAGCACTTGCCAGGTAACACCTGGAATTTTGTGTTCAGTTTTTGTCCCTATTACACAAAAAAGATGTGGACAGGCTGCAGAGGGTCCAGAGAAGGGCCACAAAGATGATCCAAGGACTGGGAAGCCTGCCATGTGAGGAAAGGCTGAAAGAACTGGGTTTGTTCAGCCTTGAGAAAAGAAGGCTTGGGGGAGACCTTTTCACCATGTTCCAGTGTTTAAAGGGTGGCTACAAAGAAGACAGAGACTTGATTTTTACAGTCAAGTGGAAAAGACAAGAGGTAATGGGTACAAATTACTCCTGAGATGATTCTGATTGGACACAAGATGAACATTTATCCCAGTGAGAACAACCAACCATTGGAATAATCTCCCCAGGGAAGTGGTGAATTTCCCAATTTTGGACATTTTTAAGATTCAGATGGACAGGGTGCTGTGCCATCTGGTCTAGACAGTGCTTTTGCGAAGAAAGATTGGACCAGATGATCCCTGAGGTCCCTTCCAACCTGATATTCTAAGATTCTATGAAAATGCTTCTAATATTTACTGTAAAGGCTACACATGGCTTTCCCCAATTGTTCAAGGCTAGTTTTACCTTTTTTTTTTTAAGTATACCTATTTATGCACAGGTATGTTCCATTTTTTTAAAAAAATAACAGCTTAAACACCTCAATTTAAGCCTTGATACCAGATGCAGTTACTCAATAGTGGAATTGTCAGGGAAACATTTTTAAATAGCTCAATGCAACATCATGAATCAGGAATAGAGAAAGTGGTATTTCTTTATGAGAAGCTGTAATTCAGAAAAGGAAACTGAAAGTCTTGTTAGATAACCATCCTATTTCACATCTCAGATTAAGTGTATGGTAAAAAGAATTAATGGCATCCTTGCATACATGAAAAGGAATACTGAGTATGTACAGGGAAATTATTGTTCTACTGTTCTTGCCAGTGAAAGTGGTTTTATATAACTTTAACCATTTGAATTGACCTGATTTTCCCACTGCAGGCTTTTTCTCTAATGTCTTTGGAGAAGAAAGCTATATGGCTTGCACAGATGATGTGCCTAACAATAGGTGGCTCAGGCTAAATGAGATGAACCCTATTCATGGGCCAGCAATGTTCAGACTTTGTGCAAGGCATATAGCTTCCAGATTCTGCCTCTAAGAAGTTAAGACAAATCCTCTTGTGCTCTATCCTTTCTTTATCATTCAGATTTTTGGAAAATTGGCAGAGATCTTCGTACTATTATGTCATGTCTTCTCTTCTACCTGTTGATCATCAGAAAAATGGTTGCTTTTGTCCATGTTCAGACTGTGAGCAATGGCACCAAACTCTCCACAGTTAGACTGAATGGGGCAGGGCCTGGACACTTTATTGTTTCAGGCTCTCAGCAAATTCATGCAGATAGCTTTGAATCATTTACTGTCATATAAAAGGCTTATTTTTACAATCATACATGGGATTTGTACTAAAGTGGGGAAAAAAAATCCAAGAAAAATAATGTAGAGATCAGGAGCTGCTCTTCCCTTTCCTTCTGTTCCTCCTGTCTAGCCCCATAGTGCAGAGCACTGGAAAGTAATGAAAAGAACTTGGGTTTGTCACACCTATTACTCTTTGTGGTGGCACCTTTTTCTCCCTATGGATTAGTATAGCTCCTGGCATAGCAGAACCCTGCCATGCTTGGTGTCATTATCATTGCTATAACAATACCAAAACCAGGGATAATAACAGTGTACTGGAAAACTTCATAGCTGTAGAATGAAAAAGGTAAATAATGCTCCCTCATTCAATACCACACAAATATCTGTTAACTGTAATTATGTACAAAGCTAATTTTTCAGATTTGACTGATTGAAAATTGTTTTGCCCAGGAGACAGTGCCTTTTCTTATTAGGTTTTCGTGATAATGCAGAATGAGATATTTGTGTTACCACCTCCTAGCTTGTCAGAGCACTGCTTCAGTGAAGAAATAACTTCTAGTGATTTGTGTAGTAATCCTTCTTGTGTCCTGATGGAAACAGGGAACCTACAAGTATTTTAGTCTTAATATCTACTTTGAACTAAAAACCTTTGAACTAAAAACCTTTTTCCCCCCCTTTTTCTCTGTGTTATCTCTGAAAGAAATCCAGTCCCACAGGTACTTCACTCATGCATATTTTCCTATGAGAAGAGAGGAAAAACTTGATTGAAATAATGAACTCTAGGCAAGTAAATAGATATTTTCCTATATCTAAGTCTTGGCAGCTGGTTTGAAAACTGGGGGAAATATGTACATATTTTATTTGTCCTTTTGGAATTATCAGACATAGATACAGATAGAACAAACCAAAGGTTTGGTTCAGAGGTGGATACTGTAATGACATTGAAGGCAAAACAAATGTAGTGCCTCCAGTATGACACGTCTTTGTTTCCCTTTTGAACTTTTTACTTTTAAGCTTAGAGGAAATATGATGAAACTTGATGACGAACCAACTTAAAATTCAGTTATAAATAGGCTTCCTACATTAGTAACAGACTTAATCTGTTATTGCTACATGTGCTTCCATACTTAGTTCCTATTTCTTTTTCTGGTGTTGCTCAGAAGGATTGAGCAATCATTTGGGTTTATTAATATACTCCAGCTATGATGAGACTAGCGCAAGTCATCAGCACTCAGGCAACGCACTGGTAAATATAAACAAGTCTTACCTTCTGAACCAATGACATTAACAACACTTTCTTTGTCCTGCACTAGTGTTTACATTGTTCATATTGTGTTCGGGTCACTGGTGTTCAGATTGGTTTAGCTTGCATTGAAGTTAATGGCCATAGATATGCAGGATTCATTTCAATATTATACCAATACCTAAGCAATACCTCAAAATATGGCTTAGCGTCTATTGTTTCCAGATGCTAATAGTGAAACTATAATGGAGGTTCCATGGTGCATTCCTAGTTCACCTGATGAACCCACATTCTGTTCTGCCAGGGGATGTTAACGGTGCCAGTACTAACAAGGGTGTTCTTTAAACCAGTGTAAAACATGGAGATTATCAAGTCAGTACCAAACTAGCCATCTTGTGAATAAGCCTCATAATGATATCAGAGAAGTGGGTTAATTAAATTAAGAAATCATTGAATAACTCCCCAAACCCTCAGAATACAGAAAAGTGAGTGACTGAGATTTTCAGCTATGAAATGCAGAGAAGAATTTGAGTTTTTCAGAGCAGGTTATGAAGTTATTCAGTGTCAGAATAAACTGTTTATTCTCAGCATAATGTTTTTTTGCAGTCTTTTTGGAAAGAGCTGGGTCCCACAACCAGGAAAAACGTTAACCATATATGAATACAACCCTGTGATTCCATTACAAACTCAGAAGAGAAGAAAGATGAGTTTGGGTGATTGGGGTAAAATCAGATGAGGGATAGTGAAAAAGGTGTCTAGCAGAGACTACTGGACAAGTTTATAAAGAGTTTGTGCTTTGTATTCACAAATGATGCCTTCAATAAATGGATGGGTCTTTAAACACTAGTTCAGATTTCTTGATATTAAGAACAAACCAAATTGAGTTGTTAATTTAAAGACAGAGTCTTTTAAATCATATCCTTAAAATTTTTATGGGCTATTTCATGGCAAGATATCTCCAATTAATTGTTTTGCTGATGGTAAAAAGTTAAATAAGACAGAAATTTTACACTTATTCTAGTGTGAGACCAGATGACCAAGAATTTACTACTTCAGAGAAGTAGTTTTGAACTTTAGTAGGGGTCACTGACTAACCACATTACTCATTTGCTTTTTTCCTCTGAAAGGCGTTAACATTTTAGCATGCATATTTGAATGAGAAACTGGACAGAATCCTATATAAACTTCTTCCACAGACTCAGCCAATTACTCCACCCTACGGGGAAGTTATAAGGTAAGAGTTATATGGCTCACTGGATAACTCTCTAGATGCCAAAGACGTGGTTTATGTTATAGTCAGGAGGTCCTTATTTTTCTACTATTTGCTATTCAAGTGCTAACTTAAGAACAGTGCTTAAAAGTACCTTTGTGATAAAAGCATCTTTGTTGGGCTTTGCAGCTTTAGCTTATCAATTACATTAAAATAAGAAATAATAGAATCATAGAAATCAGAGACAATTTTGAAAGAACCAAAAGGAAACAATTGTTATAGCATTTCAGAATTTGTATTATTAGTAAAATAATTTACTCCTAGAGAGCCAGATTCTGATCTCCTTATTCTTGCTAGGTGTCTTTTTATCTTTTTCAGTCTTAGTTAATGGATCCAGGAAGTAAATTTTTCAAAGTGTGAACCTGAGCAGTTATTCTTAATTTCACCTTTCAAAACAAATCTCCAAGAAATGATAACTGAATAATATGTGGGGCTGTCAAACAGTCTCATCTTTGCTTCATTGCTGTCAGTCAGTGACTGAGAAGGGCTCTTTGGGATGTTCTGTGGTATGATTGAGATGAGAATCTATCCCACTGCCAAGAATCCCTCCCAAAACCTTTCAAAAGGCATCTTCTCCTCTTTGTGGGTTGAAGCAATGCCAGGAGGAGGTGGGCATCCTAGTGAGTTCTAATTGGTTCAGTTGAGCTGATTTTTATCTGACAAGTTCCTTTCCCAGAATTAAGGAAAAAAATCGCTTTTCAATTTTATAGTGAGGTATTTAATTTGATCCCAAGTACTTTTTTTTTTTCTAATTGATTTAAAAAAATGTATTATTGTGAGTTGTTTTGCAACAAAAATCTTTCCCTGTGGAGCTGGAAATGAGCTGAAAGCCAGTTACTTGTACGGCTGTAGTGGGGCTACCTGGAGACTGTGCATTGTCAGGAACAGTGAGATCATGTGGCTCTCAGCATGGTCTGTGGGGGTCAACCTGTGCCTGCAAAAGCTAGGCAGCCTTGGGATCCAGGGAATGAAGTGCTGCTTTTCAGGCACTTTTCTGGAGCATGGAAGATGCACATTTTGTTCCTTCAGCAGCTTGGTCATTGGTTGCCTGTTTCCATGGTCTGGTTTAAAGTGCTAATTTGTAGAGTCTGTGTGGGAGATGTGCTTTGTGAATAGGATAGAGACAATAGAGCTGAAAGTCTGACTTGGCCAATGCACTGTCCACTTCCGTAGAGAAGAAGAAACGCAGAACTAATCTAAGGAAAGGCTCAAGAGCAGATCAACTGGCAGGAGTAGCAGAGGTTAAACAGTAAAAAGGAAGTGTCTGTGAATGAGGGAGTTTGGGGAATTAAACGGGGATTTTCCTCTGAAGGGAGGGACAGCAAGAAAAATACAGCACAGCTCTGGTCCCCTGTGGGGAGTGTCGTTGTCATCACAACCAACAATAGCTCATTCAAGATGAATGAAGCTTTGAACAAGTGTAAGTGGTATATGTGTTTGTGAGAAGTTCACCTTTTAAGCTAAGATTTATGTAATGGGAAATGCCTAATTGTTTGATCTGACTGACAGTGCACCTATATTGTGCAGCCCAGAAGATGGAGATTGAGACTGCAGACGAAGTTGCTATTGTTGGAATAGGATGTAACTTTCCTGGAGGTAAGTTTGGGGTAAAAGCAAAGCCGGCTGTGAGTGAACATGGAAAAGCAGAGTAATTAATTAGTGTTGAAATGGAGGAAAACAACATGTTCCTCCCTTAGTAGAATGTGTTGCTTTGCTACTTGTAGGATCTTTTTAAAAGGTCGTGCTGGACAGATCGAGGGCCGAAGAGTATCACCAGCTGTGCCTGTGATATGGATAGGTTGGGTTTTCCTAAAAGAAAACTTCCTGCTTTGTAGCAGTATGTACTGTGGGTGCAGTGAGACAGTAGGGAAATGGGGAGAGAAGGTGGTTAAGGATTTTGTGGGGTTCCTTTGCTTTTAGACAAACAGTGAAGGGACCAGTCATGCTTTTCAATTTCCTCTCACTAAAGAATGATCTGTTCTTTCTCTGGCAATTCTATGTAAGCAACCTAGATTTACCTGTGGGAGTTCTTGTAGCTGATTGTGCATTTCTGAGTCTGCGAGGGGAGGGGAGCCCATAATTTAATCTATTTTGAAAACTTTGACAACAGGAGATGGAATTGACAGTTTCTGGAAAGTGCTGGAGGAAGGCAAAAACTGCACAGTGGAAATCCCCCCTGAGAGATTTAATGCCAAAGAGTGGTATGATCCAGATGATAACAAGCCAGGAAAAATATGTACAACGCGAGCTGCTCTTCTCGATGAGTGAGTCTGCTGCTGCCCTGTGCCACTGATTTTTGTTGTACTTAGACTATGGGTACAGCTGTTCAGAGGCTGTGACTGATGGGAAGAATAGCAAATTATTATGGTCAACAGATTTGTCTTTTATTTGAATTCTACATTCACTGTAAATGCTCAGGCTGCAGACCTTTAATGAAATGAGAAGTTGACATGCACAAAAAAAATCTTATTGGCTCCTGGGATTAACACTCGGTAGGGTTGAATTGTAGGGCACAAAATTACTTCAGTGATTAGTCCCATGTTAGATATTGAATTCTGCACTGAAATCAAGGGATGATAGAAGGCCACACAAATGTGATCTTGGGGTACAAGATTAAGGTTGGACTTGGTCTTTTGTAAGCGTGGGCCTACTCTGAAGATGTTTGTAAAGAAACACACACGCACAAAGTATTTGGAATTTGTTGTTAGAGAAGTAGGGGTATCTCTTGGAAACACTTGAGCTGATGCTCTAGCTATTGGTTGTAAACTGTAAAGCATGGGTCTGTATTGGCTTAAAATAAGGTAGAAGACAATACTGTTTATAACTCCTTGGCTAAGACCACATTACAGCAGAAGGAGACTCATTCTGCACATTTCATAATCTGAGGAGTCCTGTTGGTACTAGTGGAATAACCATGGAAATAAAACTGTCTAGGAGTGGGCTCTTACCTCTGCAATGCCTAATCATTGATAAAAACACATCTTCTGTGGTGGGACATCAAACATCCTTGGCCTAGACACATTTTTCCTAAATTTCATAAATGGGGATTGTGGCCTAAACAACAGTTGTTGCTTTGCTTTTTGTGAAATTGCGAAAAATGTGTACTGTGAGTCTAGAAGGAAATATATATTGTACTATTTTCTGGTCTGTGCATTTTAGATTTAATTCCTTTGACAACCACCTGTTTGGGATTAATAACATGGAAGCTGAACGCATGGATCCTCAGCAGAAGTTACTGATAGAATGCACATACAAAGCCCTGGAGGATGCAGGAGTCCCTGTAGAAGCTGTCAGTGGCACCAAAACAGGTGTTTTTGTTGGTAAGATGAAAATTTCATGTCAAAGAAAGTGTGTTGGAACCTCCCAAAGACTGGAGCACTCCTTCATAAACTTTCCAGATATGTCCAGCACTGGAGATCTAAGGCTACTGTGCTATGCTACTCCTGGTTATCTTTGGAGAGAATTACTAGGCTCTAGAAGTTCATGATACAATTCCTGTATCTCTTTTAGGTGCTCCTCTTCCTGTCTTCAGGTACTGAAGTGGAAGCAGGAAACAATTAAACTGCCTCCCCAACCCTTCCCGAGAATGATAGTCCCAAGCCAGGCTGTGATGTCCCACCCTTAAGGGGAAGGGAACACCCAAGATTCATAAATGCTCCAGTCTGCAAAAAACCACAGTTTTATTAGTAAATTACAAAGCTGGCATGGCAATTGGTATGTCAGTCCCTGACCTACTATATAAGCACATGGCAGTGGTTTTGGTTAAAGGGGTAGGGTGAAAGTGAAGAGAGAAAGGAAGAGATGAGTTAAAGAGGGGAAGAGAGAAAGAGAGAGAGAAAGAGAGGAAAAGAAAGAAAGAATGAAAGGAAGAAAGAAAGAAAGAAAGAAAAAGAAAGAAAGAAAAAAAAGAAAAGATGAAGAGATCACCAGTTGTGGTTCCAGCATCCAGGGTCCTGGGGGTGCCCCCCAGGCTTGGTGGGGGTACCTTTTTATAGACAGGTTTCCCCACCCTGAAGACAGGTTTCTTGCTTTCCATGTGAAGTAGTTATCATGAGCAGTCCGTTCTTTGAGATCTTTCTGGAAATGGGTTGGAGGGTTTGTGAGTCTTGGGTGGTCTTGATCCCCCCCTGCACTAGATTGACCTTTGGTCGACAGTTCATGCCCACTTCTGTGCTGATGCTGTCTTTTGTTTGTTGATGGGGACAGAGTGGTTGGAAAGTGGCCCAGTGGAAAAGGCCCTGGAGGTGCTGGTCAAAGTTGCTGAACATGAAGCAGCTGTGTCCAGGTGGCCAAGAAGGCCAATGGCATCCTGGCCTGTATCAACAATAGTGTGGCCAGCAGGTCTAGGAAAGTGATTCTTCTCCTATACTTGGCACTGGTGAGGCCACACCTTGAGTACTGTGTCCAGTTCTGGGCCCCTCAATTCAGGAAGTACATTGAGGCAGATCCAGAGAAGGGCAGGAAAGCTGGTGAAGGGTCTCGAGGGCATGTCCTATGAGGAGAGGCTGAGGGAGCTGAGGTTGTTTAGTCTCGAGAAGAGGAGGTTCAGGGGTGATCTTATCGCTCTCTACAACTACCTGAAAGGAGGGTATAGCCTGGTGGGGGTTGGTCTCTTCTCCCGGGCAACTAGAGACAGAACAAGAGGACATAGTCTTAAGCTGCACCAGGGGAAGTTTAGGTTGGACATTAAGAAGAAATTCTTCACAAAAAAGGTGATTGGATATTGGAATGGGCTGGAGAGGTGGTGGAGTCACCATCCCTGGAGATGTTTAAGGAAAGACTGGGCATGGCACTTAAGTGCTACGGTCTAGTTGACGTGGTGGTATTTGGTCATAGGCTGGACTTGATGATCTCAGAGGTCTTTTCCAACCTAATTGATTCAGTGATTTTGTGAATCTGGGACTGTGTCTCAACAGACTAGAACAAGGATGTTTATCCCAGAAAAGTGCTGCTCTACCTCTGCCCCCTTCTGGCCCCCTTCTCCAGTCACATCTTGTTCTTTCGACAGTTCTTGGTTATTACCAGCAGTCCCTGTTTGGCTCCATGGCTCTCTGGCTATCGGTGTTTGAGATGAACACATTAGCCCCTTATCTTCTGGGCTTCTGCACAGGCCTACACTTTTTTCCAGTACACTGTTTTCCAGTATAATTTTGCCTTTGACTTGTGTTGAAGTAAAGGTTCATCACAGGAGCACTGATGCCACATGGTTTACTATTAAAATGAAAACCAAAACACACCATCAGGTTTAGAGCTGTACATCCCTGTTGTTGGCCTGGGTTAACTTGACACATATCTTATATTTTACAGGACTTATGAATCGAGACTATGAAATCGTAACAAGCACAGCAGTGAGTGCAATAAACCATTATGATGGTACAGGAACAGCCATGAGCATTGCTGCTAACAGGGTGTCATTCACATTTAATCTGACTGGACCGTCCCTGACTATTGACACTGCCTGTTCATCTTTTCTTTTTGCTCTGCACTACGCCTTGCGAGCCATTAAATCAGGTACTGGGTCTGAAGAGACGCTGGACAATGAAATTAGGATTGCTACTGTTTCTGTCTATCACCTGGACCATCTCAACATGAGTATGTTTCTGTTTTACTACAGGAGACTGTGAGGCAGCAATCTGTGGTGGGGTGAACTGCATAATAGATCCCCGCACCTTTGTATCTCTCAGTAAAGCAAAGATGATCTCTCCAGAGGGCATAAGCAAACCCTTCTCCAAAAAAGCAGATGGCTATGGAAGGGGAGAAGGCTGCGGTGTTGTTTTCCTCAAACCACTGAAAAAGGTAAACTTTCTTGTGAAGCAGCCTAAAATAAGACTGGTTGCTTGCCTGTATCTTGTATCTTCAGCTCTAATAATTACTTTTCCAGAGAAGATTTTCCAATTCATGTTTAAGATTAATGAAGGGTTTCTTGAGCATTAAATATTTATGTTCTTCCCCTACCATGGAACAGGGATCACACAGTTAGAAGTTAGCATCATACTCTGTCTGTTCTTGTTGTGTTGTTTTGTTCTGTCCTCCACAGAGAGAGCATGAGTTAATTAAAAATAATTTAATTTTTATGAAACAGGCAAAGGAAGACTACAGCAAAATCTGGGGTGTGATAAACATCAGTGCAGTAAATCAGAACGGTAGGTCCACGACTCCGATCACAAGACCGTCTCCAACAGAGCAAGAGAAGTTACTGCGCAGCATTTATGGAAGTCGTGTCGATCCCTCAGTTGTGCAGTACATTGAAGCGCACGGTACAGGAACTGCTGCTGGAGATCCTATTGAGGCTGAAAGCTTAGGTAATGTCATTGGTAAAAACAGGTCTTCCCGAGCTTCCATTCTGAAAATTGGTTCAGTGAAAGGAAATATTGGGCACACCGAATCAGCTGCCGGAGCAGCCGGGTTAATCAAAGTGCTTCTGATGATGCATCATGGAAAGATTGTTCCATCCTTGCATTACTCAAAGGAGATGAGCAGCATCGATACAGAGGAATTAAACCTTGCTGTTGCCACAGCTGTAGAGCCCTGGGAAGAATCCAGTGAGTATGGAAGAGTAGCTGGCATCAACTGCTTTGGGTTTGGAGGAACCAATGCTCACATTGTAGTCAGGCAGGTCAAGCAGCCAGAGCCTCTTCCTGCCTTTAAGAGGCCCCTTGAATTATTTCTGCTGTCAGCAGCATCAAGTAAGTCCCTTCAGATGACAATGGCTGACACAGCTGAGCAGCTGAGCACAAGAAACTCTGTGACTCTCCCAAGCCTGGCCTATACCTCTGCCTGCAGAAGAAGCCATGCCAACTACAGGTACCGGAAAGCGTTTGTCACAAATTCCCTCCAACACTTGCAGCAAGAGCTTAAGTCAGCCAGCACTGACCCTGCCATGTCCAAGGTGGAACCACAGCTGGTGTTCGTGTTCTGTGGCAACGGCGTAACGCTGAAGGAGTTCAGCGAGGCTCTGCTGAGCTCAGAGCCAGTGTTCAGAGACAAGTGTAAGGAAATAGAAGACCTTTTTCGGCAACACACTGCCGTCAGCGTCCTGCCAGCAAGGGATCATAGCCCACAGGATTTGTTGAAGCCAGAGCTCTCCCAGCCCTTGCTTTTTACCCTGCAGGTTGCCATAGCTTCCCTCCTGAAGTACTGGGGCATTAAGCCTGTTGCTGTTGTTGGCCACTCGGTGGGGGAAGTTGCCGCTGCGCATATTGCTGGGTACCTTTCCCTGGCAGATGCAGTCCAAGTGATTTATCACCGGAGCAGGCTGCAGGCAAAGACTGCCAGTGGCAGAATGTTGGTGGTTGGAAACATCCCCGTTCAAGAGATTGCTGAACGTCTGCATCCCTACTCGGGAAAGGTCTGCATTGCTGCTTTCAACAGCCCAGTTTCCTGCACCTTGTCTGGGAATGTAGACTCAGTGGAAACTGTCCAGAGAGAGTTAGCTCAAGCTTTCAGACAGAGAAACATCTTCCTTCATGTTTTAAATGTCCCAGCTGCGTACCACAGCCCCAGCATGGATATGATACTTGAGGAGCTGGAGGAGAAGATAGAGCCTTTAGGAAAGCAGAAGGGGGAAATTGAAGTGATTTCAACGCTGACAGGGGTGGCTGCATCTGAAAATGACTTTGCTCGTGGCAAATTCTGGGCCCGGCATACTCGTGAGCCTGTTGCTTTCAGTCAAGCCATCCAAAGTGCAGCTAGAGACAGGGAAAACGTGGTGTTTGTGGAAATAAGTCCTCACCGAGCATTGCAGCGAAGCATAAAGGAAACTCTAGGAAAAGGCACAAAGGTGTTCTCCTCTTTGGAAACTGATGCAGAATATCAGACGCTCCTCACCCTGGTAGGAAATCTGTTTGAACTGGGATATAATCCCAAGTGGCAGCACTTCTATAATGGGTATCAAAGTGTTCCGGTGGCCATTCCACGCTATCAATTTGATCGCCAAAAACTCATGGCTTTTCTGAATGCCCATCAACAAGCAAACCAAAGAGGTGTCAGCGCCAGTCATCCTTTGATTTATGGCATAAACAGTGACAACATGGAGTTTGGCTGCCTGCTGTCTCAGGACACAACACCATACTTATACGAGCACAAGAACAATGGGGTGGCCTTAGTCCCCGGTGCTTTTTATGCAGAGCTTGGTCTGGCCTCTGTGATGAGCAGCTCAAGGCCTAAAGTACCTCTGAGTACTTGCCAGCTGAGTATTGTTTTTTCTGCACCCTGTGTTCTCACTCAGAGTTCCCAAGTGTTGAGTATCAAGCTGAGTCTGCAAAAAGATGTGACAGCCTTTGAGATCCTCTCTTCCTCCAATGCAGTTTATGCTGCCGGCCAAGTGGCAAAGGGGCCTGAAGCTGTGGTAGAAGAAAGCACCATCTCCTTCCAAGACATCTATCAAAGGTGCAGATCAGTGATTAGCAGAGAGGAGGTTTATGAAGCACTGTCTCAGGTTGGCTTTCAGTATGGCTCCATATTTAGGCAGCTCAGTGATGTGCATTATTGCCAGGAACTAAAGGAAGCTATAACAAGCGTAAAGGTGAACAAGGAGACCGTCAGAGAGATGTACAGCTACTGTATCCACCCAGTGCTGCTGGACTGTTTTCTGCAGATGACTGCTGTCTTGACCTCAAGGACATTCCAGTCCAGAGCAGGTTTTCCTTCAGGGATACGCAGCCTGGTGGTGCTCCGGCCGCTGGAGGAAGAAATGATGATATATATGAGAACAAGCAAGTCCACTGGGAACTGCCTAGAGGTCTGTGGATGCTTTTTGGACAAACATGGCTCTGTTTTGGCTGAGCTCAAGCACGTTGCCATCACTTTCATGAAAGAAGCGTCTTCCAGAGACAACGAGTTCCTGTTTGAAAACAAGTGGAAGGAAGTCTCTCTTTCACAGACAATTGGACATCTGGGGGTTAAGCCCAGAGTCCTAGTGTTTGCAGACAAATTTGGGATAGCTGAGCAGCTCAAAAAGTACTTGCATCCTGCTTCAAGATATGTTATGTATGAAGATTGGGAAGCCCCCTTGGAAGGCCGCACAATGAATAAAATGAGAGCAGAGGTTGAGGATTATGATGAAATTCTCTTCCTGTGGGGAATTCAAAAGTTAAATGAAGATTTCCCAAGCAAAGTGGTAGATCAGTTGGCAAAGTGTTGTGAAGCCTATCGCCAAGTAGTGGTGGCATTAAGAGAGAAAATGTCCCGCTGTTCAGTCAGAGTGATCACTTACAGAACAACAGAGAGATACGTAGACCACGTTAACAGTGGGTTTGTACTGTATGGCATGACCAGAACTTGCGTTGTTGAAGTTCCAGAAATCACATTTCAGTTGATTGACCTCAGCTCTTGCAGTTCCCTGGACATCTCAGTGCTAGCAGATGTTCTTGTCAAATGCAGAGGTGGGGATTATCCAGAAGTTTGCATCAGCCAAGGAAGAATTTATGTGTCTGAAATCAGACACACACCTTTTATAGATGCAGATTACATCCAACCTGTAAGATCTCTCCAGAAGTCACAGACGTTCACTTTGTACACGTCTGATCCGTACACAGCGAAAGACTTGTCTGGTGAACTATCCACCAGCACTGCTACTCAGCTTGACAAACAGAGTGTTGAAATTCAAGTGGATAAAATTTGTGTCCACTCAGAAGATTATTTTCCCATTAGTGTTTCTAGTTGCAACTTTGGTAATACACTGTATTGGAACTCGCAAGCAGGAGACAAACACAGACTTTTAGCTCTTGATTTCAGTGGCACAGTAACAGCAACAGGAACTGATGTGAAAAAAGTGAAAGTGGGAGATCACGTGGTTTCATGTTATCCCACTGCTGCATCATCCAGGGTTCGGATTCCAGGAATAGTTTGTTTCAATGTAAAGAAATTCCCATTCTTCCAGAATGTCCCTTGTGTGTCCTACTTCATCATTGCCTGGGAAATCTTCACTCAGAGATTACCCAAGGGGAAACATGGCAGAACACTGGGGATTATTACTACAGAGCCATTATCGGTTTTGTGCCATGTTCTTTGTGCAGCAGCAGAAGAGATGGGTTGGAGAACAGTCCTTGCAAGGCCCACTCCTGATAAGTTCCAGTATATAAACCTGTGCAATGCCCTTGTTGTTCTTCCTCCTGTCAACAGACTGTCTTGGGAGGATCTGGCCCACATGTACTTTCTTAAAGATGTGGTGATCGTGTGTGGCAATCGACAGTCTGAATGTATCCAGAATGTCAGTGAAATTGGTCATGAAAACATCAGCTTCCACATCCTTACCCTTGCCAGCGTTTTCCAGAAAGCACCTCTAAAGGAATTGCAGAAGACTGTACATGTCTGGGTCAGTTCCATGGATATGAAACGGTTTAGACGTCTCTCAGGTTCCGTTTTTCAGCAGGCGGAGAACTTTGAAAGGCTAAACTCTGTGATGTCCTATTTCACGTGCACTTCTGTCCCCCTTGCTGTACTGAGAAGGCAGAAGGACATCAGCATGCTATCAGACATACCGTTGTACGAACCCCAGAAGCAGCTGTTTAAGCAGAATGCTGTTTATGTAGTAGTGGGAGGGCTCACTGGACTCGGCTTTGAAACGGTGAAATTCATAGCCGAGAATGGAGGAGGGTGTATTGCAATACTCTCCAGGAGAATTCTGAGCAATGAGAAGCAAGAAGAGATGAAGGCTTTGCAGCAGCAGTACAAAGGGAGCAAAGTAGCGTTTGTGCAGTGTGACGTGACTTTGACCGGTGATGTTGAGAAAGCTTTCAAGTCCATTGCAAACACCTTTGTGGGGAGTCCGATCAAAGGTGTATTTCAAGGTGCTGTTGCTTTACACGATGGCCACCTTGAAGTTCTGACCTTGGCTGACTTTCAGAAAGTGCTGAGCCCAAAAGTAGCAGGGACTCTAAATCTTCATTGGGCTACCAGAGGCCAGGAGCTTGACTACTTTGTGTGCTACTCCTCTGTTGCTTCCTTTCTGGGCAATGCCACCCAGACAAACTATGCAGCTGCAAACTCTTTCCTGGATCTCTTCTGCCTCTACAGGAGGAACCGTGGGCTTTCAGGCCAATCCATTAACTGGGGTGCTTTGAATCTTGGCATTCTGCTCAATCAGAACCACATCCAGAGCATTCTGAGATCCAAGGGCATAGACATTCTGCAAGTGCATGAAATTCATGAGTATCTCAGGAAAAGCTTACTTACGAATAACCCACAGCAAGCTGTCGTCAAATTGAACTTTCAAGCTTTATATCATCATGTTTTTACTCGAATAAGTTCACTCAAAACTCGCTTCATATCACTTATGTCAGAAGATTTCAGGAACAAGCTTGAAACTCCTGAGGAAACTCAAGTCCCAGATATTGCCTTTCTCAAATCGGAAGACTACATCACCTCCCTGGTGAGTGACCTCACTGGACTGAACCCCGAGGAACTAACCATGAATACACCACTTTCATCTTTGGGCATAGACTCTATGTTAGCTATGACAATTCAGAACCGTGTGTTTCAAGAGAGAAAGGTGGACATACCTCTTCTGAAACTGCTTGATCCTCACACAACTCTGTCAAGTTTAGTGGTAGTTTTAGAAGAAACAAGCAATGCAAATGGAGTAGTTGAGAAGAAGAACGGTGCAATCGAAAGTGTAGAAAATGAGAGCCGGCTGTAGGAATCTTGTCCTCCAGGAATTGTGTAACTTTGAAGATACCCAGACCTTTGTAGCATCTCAGAAGATGTCATTGCAGATGGGTAGAACATCTGGTGATGCTGAATGTACTCTTTTACAATGATTCAGGAGACTCCATACCAGGTTCTTCTGTCATTGCATTAGCTGCATTAATCTCAGTCAATTGTTTTCCTTGTTACGTTTAGTATTTTTTTACCTTGATTTTCAATAGTTTTAGCTGGAAATAAGTAGAGTAATAGTTACACATTTTCATTTGGTGAATTTGTATGTTTAATGCACATTGCATTTTTTAAACTATTCAAGTTATGATTATATTCGTATGTTTGTATCTCTAAGTGGTGACTATACAAGTAAAAGAGCATAAAATTATCAACATTTTTGTCATTCTGTGTTCTTAATGTATCACTTTTTTTAGTATTATCAAGTGTTTATAAATACAGCATGTTTTTGAAAGACTTATGATGTTATGAGTTTCAAAAACCTAATGTTTTCTTTAAGTCTTCGAAAATATTAACAATTTACCAGTTGCAAAGCATACAGTAAAGCAAATGTTTTTCTTTATGAATTAACTGATTTTTATTAAAGCCCAAATAAAAAATAATATTTAAAAAATTTAAAAATCCAAACCTACAGTGTGTCTTTATCTTATTTTAATTTTCAGTCTCTCATATTCTGTCCTAGTTTAAATTTTCCTAACCCTAATATCTGCCCTGCTTTTGCTCCAGTGAGAAAATAGAGACTTTTCCTCAAACACACTGAAGGAAATTTTGTTTATATTTTCTTAATATGGGAATAAGGTGTGTATACTGGTGATTTACCTTACGCCAGAGACATGCAACGAGTTCCTTCAATCTATGGGCTATGCTCCTGCTGATACAGTCCAGCTGGCTGTGACCCTTCATCGTGGTCAGCGTGCACGGTCAACTCGTGCTTAGTACACTGCTCATCAGGACCCCCCTGTCTTTTTCATCCAGGCTGCCCTGCAACTAGTCATTCCTCAGCCTGTAATGCTGGGGCTTAGTCTGTCTCATGTGCCAAACAAGTGCGGGGGCTAATCCACCCCAGGTGCAAGACCTTGCATTCACCATGGTTGAAAATAATGAAGATTCTGTAGAGTATTTGTCGCTCCAAATAGTGGCCCTCCCTTTCAATGTGTCAAATGCTCTCACCTAACCTGATGTTGGCTAGACTGTTAATAAAGAGCTTGTGGGATGCTTCTAGTGACTCGCTGCCAGAAGGACTTGCACTGCCAATATTACCCTTTAGGCCTCTCAGTCCCATGAATACTTCACCCAACTTATAGTCCTCTTTTTCAATCTATGTAGCTTCAATTTGGCTACAATGATGCACTGGGACACTGTGCTGAAAGCCTTGATGGAATCAAGCTGCATAACAATTCTCTTTTTCTTGTCTCAGTCTTTTCATTCTTCAAAGTAATCAGGCTGGTCAGGCAGCATATGTCTGTGCAAAGTCCATGCTGGTGGTCCCCAACCACTTCTTCAGTCATGTCCCCAACTACCTGAGTTGTTCTGAGTTTATGGTTTTGTATGGGCAGAGATCCTTGTGACCTTGCCTAAACATTTTGGAGGAAAGCATGGTAATGAAGTGAGAAGCAGCAGTGTACGTATACATATACACACATACATACATACATATGTGGAAAGGCACAGGGAGGATTTTAAATCCAGAGTGGTTCTGGTGTGGCAGAGCCTGACCAATAGCCAGGCAAATCACAAAGCAGAGAAACACAACATTTGTTGTCCTTGTTGCTTGTGCTGTTCCCTGTTCAAAAACACGGGAACCTTGCAGCACTGATGTCAAGGGGAAAGCAGTAGCATAATGGGGCTGCTTTGCACAGCAGGAGTAGATTAAAGGTATGTTAGAGGTATGTTACATGGATGAGAATCTCTCAGACATCTCCACACTGCGCAGTAGTGACCGAACCTATTGATTTTAGTCTTGATAAAGACGGGTCTGATTCTGTGAGACTGAAGCACCAATTTTGGCTGGCTGCAGCCAGTGCTGCTTTTTGGCTTTCTCTTACCAAAGCAATCCCTGTTCAGCCAGTGCTGTGAAACCACTTGTATTCTGAGGTATTGCTGAAGGACCTTATCTCTTCTATGTGTTTTGCTTTGGACTGCTTCTGTGAATCTGCCATAAATGTTCCAAAGGTCAGAATCTTTGAACAAAACCAGGATCATTGCCATTCCCCAGAAATATAGTGAGAAGCCTGATCTTCAAAAATGCTCTGCAAAGTGATTTTCATCTACACCAAAGGCAATTAGAATTGACTGTTCTGACAGCAGCAGTCTGTAATGTGGGGTAAGGCAGAGCACTGACTACTCTTTCATTTGTATCTGACAAACACATGGGAGATATGACCAGAAAAATAGCCTGGAAAATATACACAGATGACACAATAGCTCAGAGATATGCTTGACATCCTGAAAGCAGCAACCAGCAGGAGAAGGCAAAGTTACCCATAAGCAACAGAATGGACTGCAAAAACATGGAAGCAACATGTAGTGCTGTAGGAGCAGTGACAAAGTCCTGAATGCCATTCTATACTACCAAACATCATAAATGGAACAGATAAACAGGACCTTGCAGTTCTTACTTATGCCTCTGATTTCACAGACTCACAGAATGGGTCAGGTTGGAAGGGGCCACAGTAGGTCATCTGGTCCAACCTCCCTGCCTCAAGCAGGGTCATCCTAGAGCACACGGCACAGGATTGTGTCCAGATGGTTCTTGAATCTCTCCAGTGAGGGAGAGTCCACAACCTCTCTGGGCAACCTGTTCCAGTTTTTGGTCACCTACACAGTAGAGAAATTCTTCCTCATGTTCAGGTGGAACTTCCTGTGCATCAGTTTCTTCCCATTATCTCTTGTCCTATTGTTTGGCACCACTGAGAAGAGCCTGGCTCCATCCTCTTGGCACCCCACCTTCAGATACTTCTAGACATTGATGAGGGCCCCTTTCACTCTTCTTGAGGCTGAACAGCCCAGTTCCCTCAGCCTTTCCTTGTAAGGGATGCTCCAGTCCCTTAATCATCTTTGTCACTCTCTGTTGGACCTGCTCCAGGAGCTCCATGTCACTCTTGTACTGTGGAGCCAGGAACTGGACAGCACTCCAGATGTGGCCTCACCAGGGCTCAGTAGGGGAGCAGGATCATCTCCCTCAAACTGCTGACAATGCTCCTCCTAATGTTCCCCAGGATTCCGTTGGCCTTCCTGGCCACAAGGGCATACAGATGACTCCTGGATAGCTTGTTGTCTACCAGGACCCCCAGGTCCTTTTCCACAAAGTTTTCCAGCAGGTTGGCCCTCAGCCTGTCCTAGTGCATGGGGTGATTCCTCCCCAGGTGCAGGACCCTGCATTTGCTCTTGTTGAATTTCAGACCGTTCTTCTCTGCCCGTCTCTCCAACCTGTCAGGGTCCTTCTGAAGGACTGTACAGCACTCTGGGGTATCAGCCACTCCTCCCGGCTTTGTGTCCTCAGAGAACTTGCTGAGGAGGCCTCTGCCCCTTCGTCCAAGTCATTGATGAATAAGTTAAAAAATACTGGGCCCTGTATTGAACCCTGGAGGACACCACTAATGACAGGCCTCCAACTATACCCTGTGCCACTGAATGCAACCCTCTGGGATCTGGTGTTCAGCCAGTTTAGTTTAAGTGGTTTTAAAAGTGTTTCTTCCTTCATCAGCTGCTATCAAACATGATTGAAGAGAGCTGTAGCTGTCATTGCCTTCTGAAAAATGATGTTCTGCTCAAAATCTGAATTGTAATTAGATAAATTACTTGTAAAAAAAAAATCCATATCTGTGTTTCACAGAAGGCTTTTAGTGACAATGTTTGGTCTTTGCAATTAATCTTAGATATTTAACTACACAGGGATATTTTTAATGATTCTGTGCCCTCAGGCTCCAAATTCTCAATACTGTTATCAGAGGAAGCATCCCATTAGCAGGATGCATATTCACTAATCAGATAGTCATGACTCTGGCACAGGACTTGGAAAACTATTAATTTTTCCAGTCAGAGCCTGAAGTGATATAACATTTAGACAAACTGCTAAAACACCTGTCTCTTCTTCTCTGAGTACAATCATAAATGCAATTAGTCAGATATGTTCCAAACAGAAGCAACATAGATACAGAATAATTGGCAAAGAGCTGTAATGTTTGTTTGCAAAATGTGCTCATGGATGCATTTTTTCCTCAGGCACTTCATGAAAACATCCTCCTGTTGCATAATAGGAGCTTGTAGGCTGAACTAATAAATTCACTTTCCTGCAAGTAAACCAATGCCTGTTTCTTGTTTTGCCTGGATCATATAATGCCTGATAACATCCACGTCTGCCCGCAGGTGTGTTCTGCACCCGGGTCAGAGGCCAAAGGCAGCCTGTGGCTGGACCATGACACGGTGGTGGCCATAGCTCTGGCAGGGGCCAGGTGACTTCCCTGAGACCAGGGCTGGCTGTGGCCATGGCCTCCCTGCAGTGCCTCTGGGAGTCTCTCCCCATGGTCCCAGCTGAGTTACCTTGGTCTTGAGCCCAGGCAGCCAAACCACAGGATCCTATGAAGACAGTTGTTTTCTTCTTTAGATAATATCCCAGAGAAGTAGGTATTCAGTTGATAGTGTCAATGTTGCTGATAAAGGCTTCCCTCAGTCATACCTTATAAACATTGATTATCACTGCAAAGTAAAAATGCTGTATCTTAAATGGATCCATGTAAATGTTTTAATTACTGTGGTCAACAGATTAAGACACATCTTAATAGGGTATTCCCATGGTGTTGGTAGAATTTAGTCCTGACTCTGCTACTTAGTGTTTGCATCTGTGATCTCAGAGGCAGTTATAAGAAATGGTGACTTTAATAACAAAACGAGACATACATTTTGCAGGATCCTTGGGAAGCTACAGCAACATTCTTCAGACCCCTCAGGCTGTTTGGATGATGAAGGGGCTGGAGCACCTCACATATGAGGAAAGCTGAGGCAGCTGGGAACTGTTCAGCAGGGAGAAGAGAAGGCTCAGGGGTATCTTATTAATGGATATAAATACATGAGGGGAGGGTGCAAAGGGGGCAGATCCAGCCTCTTTTCTATGGTGCCTATTGACAAAACCAGAGGTAACAGGCACAGCCTGAAACATGGGAGGTTCCCTCTGAATGCCAGGAAAGACTTCCTTATCATAAGGCTGACCAAGCATTGGCACAGTTTGCCCTGGGAGGTTGTGGAGTCTCCATCCTTGGAGATATTCAAAAGCCCTTTGGACATGGTCCTGGGCAACAGATTCTCAGTGTCCTGGCTTGTGCAGGGAGTTAGTCCAGATGCCCCCTGGAGGTCTCTCCCAGCCTGCTGTGATTCTGTGAGATCCACTGGCAGATGGATTTGACCATTTCCATCAGTTCAAATCTTGGACAACGTTTGACACCACCACATTGCATAGAGCCTTGGGAAAAAAAAAAAGATCAGTTCAGAAGCCTGTGACTTATCTCCCTCTTTCCCCTTTACACTCCTTTTGACCACCCTTTATGCTCTAAGGGAAGACCTACCCCAAACTTTTGACTGAAGT